TGAAATGACCTGCTAAGTTGTGTAGCTGTTTCTCAGCGTCAAAGCACCGGAAAACTGCGGCTGCATTCCAACGAAAACACGGCCAGACAATCCCTCTACTACCCGATATTTGTGGTTAGAGGYGCTGTGATCTTAGTTTATCAGTCTGTGAGACTCCATGGAGTCATGTCGATGTCCTGCGAAGTCACCACTGTGCRCAAGATATGATAAAACTGCGAATACAAATGCACTTGAACGTTCTTAAAAGTTACAATTGCTCAGTGAGAAGCCACTTMKGTGAAATCTTCTTATTAAACCATCGTGAAGTTATTCTTTCAGAGCAAAAAGRAGATCAAATGTTCTAGAATGCTTCGAATGATGATACCACAGTTGGATGGATGAATTTGAATGGACTTTGACGTTCGTCGATTTAACCTACACTGTAGGAGCCAGACCAACGTAGGCTGCTATGGGGGTAGCTAACAACAGGGATTACAGTGAAAAACAAGGCTTCTTAGGATGGGAATACAGGACTAGTATTTACGAGATCCGACTGAGTGATTGCACGCGATGGCGGGAACATAATCAAGATAATTAATCTTTATATACGCATGTATACTGCAAAAAAAATGCTCTATATCTATCAAGTTCTAACACTAAAATCGTGAAAAGGTACACTCCAAATGCTAAAATAGAAATAATAAAACCAAATAGTGCAATATAGAGAAGATTTAACAATAACAAGCAAAAGAATTCAATAATTCAGTACAATGTAGCACTATTAATTTAAGATTCCTAAAGTTCTTCATGGTTTTAGTATTTATAATCCACTATGTATAAAAAAATGTAAAGAAATACAGTGAATTTATATACTTTGTAACAAAAACATTTACACGCAATTTCAAGTGTATCACTAAAAAGAAGTTGTAAATAAAAATAAAAGGAATTTGCTACATGTAAAAATACTATGAAAATTTAATTYCCAGACTAGCATGTTAAAACAGTGAGATTACAAGTTATTATTGTGAAAACATTACAAGAAGTCTGCAGGGAATTAGTGTGAATAGTTATTAAAAGATCAGTGAAAACAATATTAACATTTTCAAGCTAGAGTGGTTTTCATTAACCCGTGAAATACACTTTAGCATATTACACTTTATTACGCTTTGTCTCTTTTGTTTTSTATTATATYTCTYGSYTATTACACTTTATTACACTTTGACTATTACACTTTGTTTCACGGGTTAATGAGAACCACTCTATTAAGATGAGAACTGATATTGTAAATTTACAGCGTACTTACAAAGTTTTTTTTTTCCCAGTTACATCGATCTAAACTTTTTTTTCTTCGGTTGAACATAGTCTCTATAAGCATTTTTTTCTCGCAAATAAAATATAGATTTTTCTTAAGAATCTTGGGAAAGCATAATCGACAAAAAAMCAAAGAAAACTTATATATTTACCGATTATTGTTAAGTTATCCAACGCACTGATGAATTTTTAAACGGAATAATGATTTGAACTTTTTTTATAAGTTGAACTCATTTTTTATTTATTCACAGGTATGAAGGAATTAAAGAATCGAAATATTACTAAGTGGACCGATGTGCTGAGCTCACGCACGCTATTTTAGCTTTTCTTTCCCCTTCCATGTATGCCAGACACAGCCCATTTTCTTAATTATGTCTTCACTATAACCGTGAAACAGCTTGTTCACCAAGCAAAAGTAGTTTGCTATCACAAAATGAGTCTGYTTTGAATTATTAAATTACTGCAATTTTAAGCCATTTCTTGAATAGTGTTTCACGAACGCAATCAATACACTTACCTGTTTGGTTTTGTTTCACGGAAAGAGGGCGTACGTTCCACTAAACCGTGAAACAAAGCAGTTAATAGAGTTAAGTTAAAGAAAATCGTACAAGTTAAAGTGTATTTAACGGATTTGTTTTCGATAATACATTGATACACCTAAGTACGGATAATTTCTTTTGTGTCTATTTGACTATCACACTTTAAAAGTCAAATTTTGTTTCACAGGTTTAAAGTCTCCTCTGTATTAGACTAATACACCTTAGTAGT